GAGCCGGGAGAGAGCCGGGAGAGAGCGAGCCGGGAGAGAGCGAGCCGGGACAGGACGGGGCACTTACCAGCGGCACACGTGCAGTCCTGGGGGTCCATGGTTGTCTCGGCTCAGCTCAGTTCTCGCGGCTCGGCTCGTGTCGGTGGGATGGGGTGGCAGCGGTGCCGAGCGGCGCCGGCCGCCCGCTATTTATGTGGCCGGGCAGGGGCGGCGCTGGCGCTGCGCACGGTGCGGTGGGGCCGTGCTGCACCGGGCCGTGCTGTACCGGGCCGTGCTCACCCGGGGCAGTGCTCACCCTGGGGCGGTACCGTAGGGCCGTGCTCACCCCGGGGGCCGTGCTCACCCGGGGCGGTGCCGTAGGGCCGTGCCGTGCCGTGCTCTACCGTGCCGTGCTCACCCGGGGCCGTGCTCACCCGGGGCCGTGCTCACCCGGGGCCGTGCTCACCCGGGGCCGTGCCGTGCTCACCCGGGTCACAGACGTGCCAGCCCCCCCCCCGCTCCCAGCCCGCTGCGGGGAAGCTGGAGGGTCCCGCCCGCATCCCCCCTCCCAGGCAGGGTGCTGCATCCCGGGGGACCGAGAGGAAGGAGTGTGCGCGGTGTGGTGGTGACAGCACTGGTGTGGCACTGCCACCGGGTCCTGCACATTCGGGACAGCCCTGTGACACTGCCCCCCGTGTGCCCAGCGCTGGGGTGTGGCGGTGCCCCCCATCCCAAGGGTGGCCATGGGGTGTATGGGCTGTCCCTGGGGATGGGATTGACTGTCTCTGTCCCACTGGACAGCAGGATGGCCCTGGGTAGCTCCACTGGGCTGGAGTGCTCGAATGGCCTCCCAGGAGGGGTGAATCATAGAATGTCCTGAGTTGAAAGAGACCCACAAGGATCATCGAGTCCAGCTCCTGGTCCTGCACAGGACAACACCAAGAATCACATCGTGTACCTGAGAGTGTTGTCCAAACACTCCCTGAAGTTCCTGGCAGATGCTGTGACCACTTCCCTGGGGAGCCTGTTCCAGTGCCTGCCTGACTTCTGGGTGAAGAACTTTTTCCTAATACCCAACCTAAACCTCCTCTGACGAAGCTTCATGCTTGGGTGAGCATGGGGATGCAGTGTGGGAACATGGCATTGCTGGCCAAGGGCTGCTGGGAATCACAGTTTCCCATCCCTGTGGGTTTTCCACAGGTGTTTGTCATGGTGTTTATGTGCCAACTGGCTTCCACCGCCCTGCACGTGCCCGTGGCCAGTTCAACATCCAGCACAGAAACAGTAGCTGGGCCAGGGCCAGGCCGTCCCTGTGCCTGCACCCGCTGCTCGTGGTGGTGTCACACGTGGCACAAACCTGGGCTTGGAGCCAGCGCTGCAGGAGGGCTCTGCCCCCATGGAGCCTGCACCGGTGGGCTCTGTGACCAGGACAGGGTCGGTGGCCCTGGGAGGTTGTGCCAGGGAACGGCTCGTGCTTGTTTGCAAAAGCACGGAGTTGTTTTTTTCCTGGCAGTGTGCACAGCCAGCAGCGAGGCGAAGCCAGCAGGCATTGCACACACCAGGCATTGCACACACCCCTGGCTGAGCGGGAAGGAGGAGAGCTGGAATCACCGAGCACGTGTGGTCTTACTGCACATAAACATGGGTTGCGAAATCACTTCCCTCCCGGACACCCCCCAGCACGGGGCTGCCTCCCTTCCCCCAGCCCTCCCTCCAGCGGGGTGGGTTCTGCTGCACCCGGGATTGAGGAAATGGGAGCCCCTGGCCACCCAAAATGAGATCGTGCACCCCTGCACGGGGCCAAACCAAAAGTGGGACATGAGTGCGCAAGGGCAAAGCTGCAGGGAAAGCAGGGGAATTCCCAGATTTGTAGGAATTCTGTGTGTCACACATGGATGGGCTGTGCTGAATCCCGGGACACGTTGTCCCAGGCTCACATCATCCCAGGTCCATGTCACTGTGAGCAGGAAGGGCCAGCACAGCATCCCCACAGAACTGTGTGCAAAGCTAGGACGGGAAAAGAGCCTGGAAAATGCCTGGTTTCCCAATCGGGCATTTCCACTGAATAATGAGGTCACCCCGCAAGCAGGACGGGATGAGTGTGCATTCCCCGAGCCATGGGCTTGCTGAAATGCCGGGATGCAGGGCACATGCTGGACAGCAGTGGGGAGAGGAGAGCTCAGGGAGGGTCTCCCGTGTTACTGATAGTATTCCAGTTTCACAGAGCAGGGAGTAGTTAAACCCAAGACTGTTCCCATGTAGGAGGAGTGCCAGGTCCAACTCTGATTTTACAGAGGCCATGAAGTGAGCAGTGGAGCTGCAGCTGCCCAGCACAGGTCTCAGGGCTCAGAGCTGGGCTGCTGGAACCCCTGTCTGCCCCTCACTTTCCCTGCAAGAAGGACAGCATCTGACAGCTGCTTCCCATTACCCTGCCGTGGGGCACAGGGATGGGCACAGTGCAGAGCCACGGGGTAGGACCAGTGCAAACCCACAGGGACCAGCAGAGCTGGACCTGTGCTGTGAGCCTCACCAGTCAAACCACATTGGGTGATAAATCCCATTAGCAACCTCTCCTTCACCCCGTTGTGGGCTCACCAATGATGTTTTTGCATGGTTGGCACTTAAGTCTCTCTGGGTTAGAAGGAATAAAGATAACCCAGCTCTCTGCAGAATGAAGTTTAGCACGATGCCCTGCCCTGCCCTACGTTCAGCTGGCACAGGGGTAGGATCACTCCCCTCAGAGGTGTGGGGTGATGGTGACATCTCAGGGGACACCCTGGGGGAGGAGCCCTCCTCAAGCAAAGGGGTATCCCCTGGGGTTGGCACTGTGAGCAGGCAGTGGGCAGGGGTGCTGTGCTGTTGGCTGTGCCAAAAGCCCGGCTGAGGCCTGGCAGTGGTGACTGGATAGGTCAGGAAAGGTTTTGCAGCTGAAAGGAGGCCATGCAAGGCTGTGTTTGGGGAGTGCAGGGACAGGCAGGACCCCTTGTGTGTCCTGGGAGGCAGCACAGTGGGACTTGGCTCCTGAGGTGCAGAGCTCGGGCAGGAGGATGGCTGTGCTTGGGCAGGGCAGGCATCCCACACTGGCATGGGCATCACCTCCCATTGCAGGCATCACATCCCACCGTGGGCTTCGCACCCTGGCAAGGGCATTGCAGCCCATCACAGGCATTACATCCCATCGTGGACGTTGCACCCCAGTGTGGGCATTGCAGACTGCAGTGGCCATCACCCCCTGGTGTGGGCATCACCTCCCATGGGGGGCACTGCACCCTATTGCAGGCAGTGCACCCCATCGTGGGCATCACACCCCACTGTGGGCACTGCACCCCGTGGTGGGGAACCAGGTCACCTGATGCTCGCCAGGAGCACCCAGCCAGGCTGACAGAGGCGGTGGGGGAAGCAGCAGTGTGGTTCTTCCAGCCAGTTCAACTAAACTGCCGGGAGGAAAACTAAACCTGTTTCCCCGGCACCCCACCTGCTGTGGAAATGTTCCCCCTGGAAATGGGCAGGGCCGGGGTGGTTATTAAAGTGAAAGCTTGTAATAATGAGCTGCTCATTAGCCCCGAGGATCTCTGGTGGAGGAGAGAGCATGGGATTTGCCCTTGGGTAACAACAGGGTGGGGGGGGAAAAAAAATCCCTTGTGTAGGACAAGTGTTAAAACAAGAGTCAGAATTGCTGGCAGGGAGAGCAGAGCCAAGACTGGAAGAAAGGAGAGAAAATAAGACGCAGGCTCTTTGCCATGACCGCCCACAGACGCTGCCCTCCCGCTCCCCAGGGAAACCACCCCATCCAACAGAAGTGAGTGCCAAGCTCCTCATGGACCTTTATATACATATTACTTTATTTAGGTGACAAACACTAAAGAAATCTGAACACACATATAAAAAAAGACAACCAACATACACAATAAGGTTATTCTTCTTTATCCCCCCAGATGTGCATCACCCCCAGATGTGCAGCCAGGGTCCCCTATTTGCAGCAGCTGCACTTGGCAGAGGGGGGTCCCTTGCAGACACAGCCCTGTGCACACTTGGCACATCCCGCTGGGCAGCAGGAGCAGCAGCCTGGGGGAGAGAGAAAAATGTATTAGGGACATATTTTCCTGGGGGCTCTCAGGGTGGGGTTTGGAGGGTCCCGCTGGCTTGGAGACATCCCATGTATCCACGTCCTTCCCTTACAGCAGCATCTCCATCCCTGGCAGCATCTCCCTGGGTGGTTGTGCAGCCAGGGCCAGCACTGGAGAGGCAGCAGAAGGGCGAGGAACCCCAAAGGGCTCACTGGGGTCCCCTGAGTCCCTCTCTTTGCAAATCCTCCTGCACGTGCCTCTGCTGGGGGTGACAGCATCAGAAGCACCCAGAAAGAAATCCCAGTGCCAGTTTCCTTCCCAGGCATCCCCTTGTGCTGAGCCTGAGGTGCCAGTGAGGGTTTAGGTGATATTGGGTGGCTTGTGTTGCCTGGCAAAGGGGTGGGATTCTCACTGTACTTGGGATGTATATGAAACACTTCCCGAGTGTTTTTGCCCCCCTGGGGGCTCAGACATCCCTCTTACCTTTTTTGCATGATGTGCATTTGCAGTTTTTGCATTTGCAGTTGTCCCCGCAGGTGCAGGTGCCACCTAAAACAGAAAGAAAAGGAGAAAAAGGGGTTGAGAGGAGGTGGTGGGAGGGGATCCCCCTATCCCAGGGATCCGCGGGGGAGAGCGTTGCCGCCCCTCGGACCATCCGCTGATGCTTCAGCCTCGGTCAGCAGGGAGCTCAGGGCATTCCCAGCCGCTTCCCAGTGAGAGGGTCCCAGCGTGACATCGCAGTGCTGGGAGAGGATTTCAGCAGCCGGCCCAGCCGGCAACAGAGAGAGCATCGGGAACGTCGGAGGCGTCGGGCGGGAGTGCCGGTGTTCCCGCTGGGATGCTCGGGCTCCCGCTGCCCCCGGGACGGGGGTTTGCTCCGGCTTACCCGTGGCGCAAGGGCAATCCTGGGAGTCCATGTCTGGCTGGGCTGGGTGCCGGCTGTCGGGCGCGTTGGGCAATGGGAAGAAGCTTTGGCAGGACTCGCAGCCGCCTCCTATTTATCCTTGGCCAGGCGGGAGCGAGTGCAAAACCTCCGCCCCTGCAGCCTGCGCACGGCTCAGCCCGGCTGCTGCCCCGGGCGCTGCTGATTCACTGCCCGGGCGGCCCAGCGTGACCCGGGGCTCCCGCCGCCCCCCGCGCCCCCCTCC